TGCTCTAATAGGATTTTTAATTTTACCAAACAGAATTCCAATTCTTCAAATAAGTATATGGAAATAGTTTTCCACATCTTTTTGAAAATAGCTGTAAATTTTATTGAGAAGCGTTCTAATGTAGAATGTTCAGCCATGGAAATGTCCAGTTGGAAAAAATAAATTATAAAAAAAAGAAGGCTTTAATGAAACTTACCAAGGTATTTTCCCACTTTTTCTTATAACAAAATTTGGTGTATAGTGTAACTCATAATTTTCGACTTTGTACGGTTCATCACTATTCATCCATTGATTTAAACAGGTCGGTCCATTATTAAGTTCCCAACCCTTATCTTTTAATCCCAACAATTGACTTTGTACCAATCTTTTGACATCTTGTTTTCCTCGTGGAAAGCTAAAATCTTTAGCATCATTGGCAAAAGTAAAAGTTGGTAATATCAGAACATCATTATTTAAGAGTAAATCACTATGATTCAGGATCCTTGAACGTAAACCAGACGTTGGCCAAGTATCGAAATCAAGAAAGAAGATAAATTCTGTACGAGCAAATAACCGTGCAGTATTCATATGAATATTAGTTTGTACAGGCTGCAATGTCGTATTTTTTGTACTATATGGACCCATTATTAAATGTATATCAACATACGTTGCAACATTTAGATTTTTTTCATATAAATTTTTAATAGAATTTAAAGTGCCTTTTATAATTTCATCGTTATGTTTTCGTGGTTTTAAAAGGGAGATGTAAAGTAGCAGATATTGGACCTAAAAGTGATTTTAAGAAATATATATGAAAACTTTTAAGTCTTACAAAAATTCATTTACCGTTTAGCACTGCATGAAGTATCCCCTTCGAATAATATCCTACCACATAAAGTACCCTCCTTCTCCACCAATGAAATCGCTGGATTCGTGAATAGTACCCGGGGTCTTATTCAAGAACATCATTTTTAAAATTGAATAGTACTGGGGTACTGTATGCAGTGCTAAACGGTAGGGACACACATAAATATAGAAATGTACGTACCTTTCCATATGTCAGCTAATCTTATTAAATCATCTAATCGATCCTGCGTGATATAAGCAGCAACAGTTATGTCATCATTATCAGGCTCAGACCCGGCTCGAAAGTAATAAGGATATATATTGTCAGTTAATGAATGTGGCGAATAAGTGTGCATTTTTGAAAATCGAATGGCCTGTTTCATCTCGGATAGCGGAGAAATTGAGTTCGTTTCTGTTAATTCAACATTATATGTAATGTCAATTTAAATATTATCAAATCAAGTAAAAAAAAAAAAAAATCCATACCATAAGTTCTTGGGATAGCATTTAACATCAAATGTACTGGTGACTCAAGTACTTCAATTGCGAAAAAATATGCCAAGAGCCGTATTGGAATAAAAAACATAGAAAATATTATATATGATATCATTACAGTTTTAACTAGTTTTGATTTAAAAAACCATGTGACATATGCGGAACGTGAAGGAGACGAAGCTCCAGATAAATATAAATACTTGCTAAACCACATTTTCAAATATTTTAATATTTTTTAAAAAAAAGTTATGTCGAATAACTTTTTGAAAGTGGAGGAAACTAAGGTGAATTTGATGCTTTTATAGAATTAAATTAAGCTTTACTATTTCCGGCTCATAGTATAAATTTGGTAGTACGACATAAATTAGACTAGAGATCGTCCCGTTAAAAAATTCTACCCGAGTATTATAAATTACTCGGTTAACCGGATAATTTTATTATAGTAATAGTAATAGCTAATACTAAATACTAGGGTACAATCGTACAATCTCTTGATTGGACAACGTTGTACATCGTCAATAACGTTTCTTTGATAATAATTTAATTCTATAACATCAAGAAACATTTATTAAAATAATTTTTTATTAAATAATTTTTTATAAATTATAATATTACACATCAAAAGAACAAATTTTTCTATAAATAAATATATATTATGCATTAATTCTATTTAAAGAATACTTTTCCCCCATTTTTTCAGTCTTATACTTTGAATTTTGATGAATCCATCTGCATCTTGAGGACTAAAACCTCCAGCAACATCCATTGAACTTTCGTCCATATCATATAACTTTTCCGTATCAGATTTTCGACCTTCAACAATAACATTTCCTTTATAAAGCTTTAACTTGACCTCCCCATTTACACGTTTTTGACTTTCTAAAAGAGCAGCGGATAAGACGTCACGCTCTGGAGAAAAATATTGCCCATTATATAATAATTGAGAAAATTGAGGGGTAATAAATTGATCTCTTAGGTTTCTCACTTGTCGATCAAGGACTAATCCTTCTAAATCAACGTGAGCAGCACGTAAAATAGTACCGCCAGGAGTTTCATAACACCCTCGACTCTTGATGCCTATGTAACGATTTTCAACTATGTCTATCCTTCCTATACCATTTCTGCGCGCAATTGTGTTCAAATAAATGAACAGATCAAGAGGGTCAGATACAGTAGTACCATCAGAATGATTTTTAACCATAACAGGTATCCCTTTTTCAAAAGCAATTGTAATACGTTCAGGTGTATTAGGTGCGTCTTCAGGGTCTACGGTTAATTTCCACATATCTTTTGGAGGAGTTACGTTTGGATCTTCAAGAATTCCAGCTTCGTATGAAATATGATACCTAAAATAAACAAATATAATAAATATATATATAAACATAAAATTGAAAAAGTATTAGATATAAAAATTTTTACTAACAAATTTTCATCAGTTGACCATGGCTTCTTGACCGTTTGTACAACAGGGATATTTTTTTCCGCAGCATAAGCCAAGAGTGCTTGGCGCCCAGGAAAACGCTCATAAAATTCTAAATTGGAATGACAGTGATTAAAGAAGATGGTAGTAGTTAATATAAACAGTAGCAATTGATAAATTAATTTATATAAACAAAAAATACATGATATTCTAATATTACCTGGAATCCTCCATGGTGCAATGACCTGAATATCAGGTTTCAAAGCATAATAGGCCAACTCGAAACGAACTTGATCGTTACCCTTTCCAGTACAACCATGTGACATATATTGACAATTTTCTTTTTCAGCTATTTCCATCTAAATATGATTATAATTTATTTAGCATATAAATAATAATCTAATATTTAATACATTATATGTAAATATAGTGATTGCTTACCTGACGTTTGGCAATAACTGGTCTTGCAATCGAAGTACCCAAAAGATAAACATTCTAATATATTAAAATAAAGCACCGTTCAAGTTAGAAACGCAATTTAAAAATGCGAGTTGGAAATGCGAGTTAGAAATGCAAGTTAGAAAAAAAAACGAAACAAACCTCATAAATAGCGTTGGCTTGTATGGTAGGAAAGATCAGTTCTTCCACAAAAACTCGACGTAAGTCCTCAATATAGACTTTTTTTGCACCGATTTTTAAGGCTTTTTCTCTAGCAGCCTCGAAATCCTCTTCTTGGCCAACATTGGCCATATAAGTTATTACTTCATAATTTTGTTCGATCAGCCATGCGAGGATGCAAGAAGTATCTAGACCACCAGAATAAGCAAGAAGAACTCGTCCTTTTACTGAAGACATATTATGAAATTTTTTATATTTTATTTTTTTTTTTAATTTTAAGACTTAAATTAGCGTAAAAAACTAACGTTAACGTTGATGCTAAATTCGAAGTTTAAATACTTTACTACCACCTTACTGAGGCAATAATTTTTATTACATAACATTTACGGTAATATCTAAACACGCGGTTCGATTGATTATCTCGATCAATATCTAAAGTTTGACAAAAAAATGGCCGTTTATAGTTTATTGTTTTCTATAGAATAAAAATCGATTATAATATAATCTATAAAATAGACAATAACAATAGATTATATTCACATTTAATCGTAAATCAAATTTTGATTAAATAATTAAATAATCTTTGAAATCAAGATATTGTACAATTCTCCAAAGGCTTCAGAGGTGGAGGCCGTCCTACCACAGATCGATGATCACCAATCTGATTACGCACATAAGACGGACATTTAAAACTTTATTTATCAAAAGATGAAATTATCTATAATTTATATAGTAATTTATTGTAATAAGACTTGATATTACTTGAGTAGGTTAATATTGAATACCTAAAATGGTTCTTTCGATATTATAGCCTCATGTACATGCTGATGTCAGTCTGAACATAAACTGTCAGATTTCATATTGATATCATGGATATTATATAAATATTTTTTTAAGAAAGAATATTTCTACATTTATGACAAAGTTTGGTAAAGTGTGAATTACAATATCGAATGAATTCTAATTAATCCTTATACATACCTACGAAGAGACCTACTAGCACGTATTAATTACTTTAGCGTTAGTGTCGTGTGAGAACTTAAAAAAAAATTTAAGGAAAGACCTTTTATAGACAGCAATGTATGCGTAATTCTCAAATAACAATATCATGACAATCAGACTCTTGCTTTGATATAAAGATTTAAGATCATAAAAAAAAGGCTTTACCTCACGGTTACATATCGTTTGCCAAGGATCTGGACTAAAACACTAATCAAGGGACCAACAATGAAATAGCGATAGAGAATTTATATTATAACGAATATTTTGGTTACTAATGAGTTAACTCATTTGAAACTTCCCACGCAAGAAACTAAAACTTTTAAAATTTCGACCAGTGATAATCATAAAGAATCTCAAGATACCGGTGGCGTGATCCCCTAAACATGCACAAGTATACGTATTCAAGCACAGCATGATTTTCAAATAGAAAGCCAATAAAATAAATAAATAAATAAAAGATAGTGATGAGATTGATTGATAAATCGATATATACTATATATATATATATATATAATATAATATATATATAATATATATATCAGATATTATCTGATATATATATATATAATATATATATCTGATATATAATATATATATAATATATATCTGATATACTGAAATATATATATATATACATCATAAAATACCAGTTTCTCAAACCAAATATCGCTATCGCAATATAATATGGATTTCCAATCATTTTGGAACACTTAAGTAATAATCTTCATGTGATACGAATATTTTAGGTTACCCAACAACGGCAGTTATAAATAGCTACGAAATTTAGATGATTTTTAACTAATTTCCATCGATATCGATATGGGAGATAATCCAGTAATCATGAGATAATTTATTATTATATATTGCTATATACTGTAGAATTGTGTGCGCATGATAACAGATAATTTATACGTATTTTTAAAAAAATATAGATACGTGCGTACGTGTGTTAATTAATATTTTTATTAATTAATTTATTAAAGTATATCAATATCGTTATCAATATACGTTAAATAGCGCTTAATTTAAATTAATAACTTAATTGTTATTAAATAGGGTATATAAATAAATATAGAGAAACCAATTTAATTTTTAAAACTTGTAACTCCGTGATCCGATATTCTGTATAATCCCGAAAAATAGGATACTGTACTTTCAAATTTATTATTACTATTATTACTTTTTAATAACGAAACCAAATATATTACGTCTTTGTGTTCCAAAGATGATACGACAATAGAGTAAGCTCGAAACTTTTTAATATTCTAAATGTCTATAAATGGTTTTTGAGTTACAAAGAAAAATTGCAATAGTCTCCGACACCTCTAAGCATGTACGTACGTACGTACGTATGTACATACTCTACGTACTGTACGATATATTATTACTTAAATAGTGTTAATTAGGGAATTATGGATTTTTTCTCACTTCAGGTGACATTTTAAATCGTTATATTATTTCGAATTCGATCCTATTCAAATTGTGTGTCAATACGTAAATGATTAAAATTAGTCAACAATTATGCAATTGAGTCAATTGGATTCATAGAAAAAACAAATCATAATATACGCATCAATCAATGTTCGTAATAAATTAGTTTTTACCATTTTAGTATCTACAATATGCAAAGGAGGATAGCATAGCCCTCTGATCCAGTAAACAATGAACTTCCCCGTTCTGCAATCAGGAAATAATGTCTTTTTTCATTTAATCCGGCGTGAAAAAAAGGCTGATGTTGGCAAGTGATCCGAAGAAAAGCATTTAAGGGAGTTTTTTTTTTTTTTTTTTTAGTTCTTGGTTCGAAGACGTAAATGTGAAACATGCACTTATTAGAAAACAGATAAATATCATCTTAGTACACGAATTATTCACCTCTCTTCGTTAACCTCTTGGTTTTCCAACAAAGTATTACGTATATTTTTCTCTTTAATATGTAAGGTAAGAATCAAAGCCATATGTAGTGTCCCCTTCCCCCTTTGTGATTGATTTGTTAGGAAAACCCAACCAAATAAATGCGTTTGGTTAGGTTCAATAGCGATATAAATTTGGAAACATCACATCCAATCGCGAAGATATATCCAAAGCAATCAAAACAATAGCAACTTCCTTGTTTTCTTTCTTTTTTAAAAATTGTGTTTTTGTGGGTTTCAAACTTTGTTTTCGTCGTATGCACTCTTCATTTTCTTCAACTTCAGCTACCCTGAAGTAATTCACGTCAAAAAACACGCAGGATTCCTGTACTCCTGTTATGTTAGTTCTTCATCTTAGTTCGATCAGATACAATAAGATTTAAATATATAAATATATATATATTTATATATATTTATATATATATATATCCAAACCGATTTAACAAGAAAAAAAATTATATATTCTTTCAGAATCAACTCTGGTAGTTGCATTCAGCGCATACTTGGAGATTTCCAAACGTTTATTTTGTTTTTGTTGCTGATTTTTCTACCTTCTATTTTATTTTTATTTTTTTTTTAAAAAAAAAAATAAATAAATAAAAAAAAATAAATAAATAAAATTTTAGCATGCCTCAAATAAAACAGCAAAAGGACAATCAGGATCGGCAGTCAAAGAGTCCCGGTAATGGGCGTGTCCTTAGTAATGGTAATGTTATTCAGGCTAACTTAGACGCTAGAGGTGAACGATTAAAGGTGGTTGTCAAATTAAATGATGGAGTCCAAATAGATTTTCCCGTCCCTACTTCGAAAGAAGTCCGTGATCGATTTTTTTATAAAAAAGCAAAATCTTCTGATAAACCGGCTAGACCTCCAAATAAATTTTTTATCTTTCGAACTATGTTCCAAGGTGCCGTAGACACCTTTAAACTTCAAGTTCCTATCGTTTCCGGAATCGCTAGTGAAGTTTGGAGAAAGTCTAGCGTCGAGGTTAAAGAAGTCTTTACAAGACTTTCCAATATTGCAAAAACTGAACATGGTGAAATTAACCCTGGTTATGTTTATAAGCCGCATAGAAAGCAATCTCATGATACCGCTAACAAATTCGATATCGTTTCTCATGAAAAAATGGATGATGATTCCGCCGGTTCTTCTTCGAGCCCTTGTTCGAGTACTCCTTCGTCACCTTGTACTCCCACACTACCATTATGGGCTTCTACTTTCCCAACAAAGAACCCTGAAACTCTTCCTCTATCCAATTTGTCCATGCAACAAATATCTAATTTTAATGTTAATCCATTTACTCTTAACGATCTTTCTCCAAATTCTGATTCTTATCCTGCAACATTTATCCAACCGCAACAATTGACTTATTTATCATTCGGCGACACTACCATTCAACAATTCATGCCTCATTCAATGTTGCAACCTCGGTCTAATTCTTCCACTGATCAAGTTCCTTTCGTATCACATCCGGATTCTTTTCAGTTTTACCAATTTTCGACTTCGGGTTCATCAACTTACTCTTTGACAAGCGACGTTTTAGTGGATCAAAATTGTCCTTTCAGATTACAACCTTCCGATTACAACAACGATGGAAATTCGATTATGCGATCTGTTCCATTATCATATTCCACGGAATACTTTAATCCGATGCATCATGAAATGACTCATATAAATGATGATCCTACACAATCATCCGTTTCTCAATTTCCACAATTTCCACAAAATTTTACGGATATAGTTCCAGAATTAGAATTGTCCATTTCTGGTCGTCAACACATTAATGATGACGAAGTCGTATCGCGATCACAAGAATCAATACAATTGGAACTACCGACTATTAATTTTTCTCAAAATATCCCATCGACTATTTCGCAAACTTCACAATACAATAATGCTCTTTTACGTGACGGCTTTTTCCCTGATGCTATGGATGATGACGCAATTGTTATAAAAAATTTAAAGGAGGAAGATTTCAATTAATTCTAATTGTTCTTTAAGTTTGTTTATTCTATGCCTTTATGTCTTTCGAGTAGACCAATGGTCTAATCATTTTTTTTTTTCTAAGATTTATAAGTTGTAACAGATGAATTAACCATTTATTATCCCTAAGAACAAACACATACATTAAGAATTTCTAGTTATCGTTATGCAAAAATGGTGATTTACACAGTTCCATTTATCGTTGTTACGTCAATACAATTTTATTTATGGCATAAATGTTTTTTTACACTCCGATACCGATATATTGTATATTTATAATAATTGTCATTATATTCATTTGATGTCAATGGATGAATAGGCGGATAAGTAATAAAAATCGTGTTCTTAAATAATTATCGCATTTATGTAATAAACTTTAAAAAGAAATTCGTTATACTTTATTTTGATATAATTTAGCGAGAAAAATACAATGCTCAAATACAGTACATGTTTGTTTTTTTTTTACCTTAGATATAAATTATTTGACACAATGTATATATTAAATGTACTGTATGTGTGGTAGCTTATAAAATTAATAGTTATTTATTAATGTTTACTAACATGCTGTTCTTTTTTGTAATTAATATAATATCGTTATATACAAAAAAATTAAATAGACGTGAATTAATAAAAATCAAGAAATCTTTTTTTAAAAATTTTTAAATAAATAAAGATAATAATTTTGCAAAATTTGTATAAAATTATTTTAATCAATTTTATAGTAAATTTAAAGACAAATTTGTGTATAACAGTATTTGTTAACAATACAAATTATAACCAAATTTTTGCTAAAAACTACAAATTATTATTTTTTTAAATATTTCGTATATAATGAATGATCTAAATTAAATAAATTTTTTTTTGTTAGATAAAGCTTTATTTAAAAAAGTTATCTAATTTGAACCACTTGATATTTAATGTGTACATCCATATGTATCAGAGTGAAGTCGCAGAATTTTTAGTAGTACTTTTTTCCCAAAATTGGTAGAATAATTCGAACTATCGCGCATGCGCGTTCCGAAATAACGCGCAGGGTCTCGAAATAACGCGTTATTACGCGCTTATACGGTACGCAGTGGCGACAGAGCTTGTATTTGTATTTTGACCTTGTTCTTGTTAAACCAAAGCTATCGAATCCGTTATTTTTACAGTATCGGTATAAAATGCCATTTGGATGGAAAGATGGTTTACTATAAACGATTACAGTAAACGCCTCCCCCCGAGAACAAGTCAATAAAAATATCATATCGATATGATGTAAAGATGAGACCTGAACACAGATCACTTCTCGAATAATATAAATTGGCATGTATTTTTTCGATGCATAATACCATCATGTTCCCGTTCGCCTCATTTAATAATGTTTAATTGCGGCAGCAGTCCTCAAGACATCTCCAAAATTATTAGACATTACACTGATGATTACTAATAGTTGGCTATTTTCGTAAAGGAAAATATATAAGGGAAAAGGACGAACTTAACATCTTTTCGATAGTATCATGTGATATATTAATGGTTCGCCTCATTGAACTGAATTGAAGGATGTTCTATAGAATAGGTGGGCAAACTCAGCTAAACTCTGCCAAATATCGCGTGAATATATTAAAAAATTAATGATTACTACCGTAATTTGCGGCAAATAGTACCCCCTTGTTAGTGTACCCCACGATTTGTACCCGGGATTAATCAAGTATTTGTCGCAAACATGATTGTAAAAGACCC